TCATATACTAGAATTGGAAATATCAAAATATAGTTCCGTATTTTCGGCTCTAGTTCTTTGATAATATCGTCTTTACGTTTACTTGATATCTCATCACTGGCGGGTGCAGAATCTATTTACTCTTTATATATTTTGTTCTATGCCTTTCTTCGTGCCATCATCCATTCATTTCATTTATTTAAATATTTTCTTGGTTGAGTCTACATTGCTTTACCATTCGAACGTGTTACGGAAAGGGAGAAGAACAGGAATTTGAAAGAAGTTAAGATGGCATTGGGGGTATTAGACGACAATAAGCTTGCAGAAGTTCCAGGAACATCTCTCTTGGATAAAGGGAGAATTGATGGTTAGTACGGCTCCCAAAACAATGAGAGAATACTGAAACTGTGATTAGAACTTGATACACGAATCTTGAATTTGAAGACGAAGCATGGGGTGGTTCTTGTGCCTCAGCCGAGTGACAATGTGAATGATCCATACAACTGGTAACATCGACGCTTCTATCTTGCAGCCGGTGCCGTAGGCTTAATTGTCTGTTAGGCCGGATATTAAGAAGAACATTGCTATCTGGGCGTTGGCCCTGACTTCTGGAGTTGCGGTCTCGTGAGAACCCTTTTTGTCACTCTCAACATGACGTTGTTGTCTTGAATCTACTGATTTGTTGGCAATGATATTTTAGGCTTGGGCCGATAATCAGCCCCGGTTTGCTGGTTGCTTCTAAGAGATATCATGTATCACTGGATCAAGTTTCAACATTTCTAATTGGCGTCCTGATCCTGTCCATCGGATCAGGTACTTTCTTCACCGCGGCAGCAGCAACTATCTGGGGCAAACGCCCGGTATTCATTATATCAACAGCGATTTTGTTAATAACATGTGTATGGGGTTACTTTGCGACGGTGAGTTTTAGGACGATGTCGCCAATTTCGTGGAGCTAATATCATATTTCAAGTCCTTCGAATCGCTGTGGATCATGCGAATTGTGCAAGGGATATCAGCTGCCCCTTTGGAAACCCTTGTGACATCCACTGTATCCGATATATTCTTTGTTCACGAGCGAGGGCAGAAGCTCGCCATATGGGGTATAGCAATTACGTCTGGTGTCATACTTAGGTAAAGTCCCAGCCAAGTAGTTAGTTGTTCACATTTTCATACAACCTAGGACAATACTAAGCAACAAGTTCAGTCAAGTTGTGTCTGGTTATATCATTCAGAATCTCGGCCTATTGACCCCCTTTGGCATCACAGCATTAGTACTATGCTTACTGCTTCCCGCAATCTTTTTCCTTGTTCCCGAAACTGCGGATGTGCTACATAAATCTGGACAAACCAATGAGAAACTAACCACTGCACACGGTGGTAAAAATGCACCCAAGAGGACATATAGCGAGGAATTGAGGGTATTCAATGGTCGGATATCGGATAAAAGTTTCTGGGCGCTAGCAGCGAAACCTTTACCCCTGATTACATTCCCAGCTGTCATCTTTAGCACGTTTATCCATGGTAGCTTTCTGACATGGCTCGTGGTATTCGCCATTCTGTCCACAAATGTGTTCACAGGCCCTCAATATGGACTCACACCCTCTCAAATCGGCCTGATAAACCTTCCCTTGCTTGGTGTCTGTCTTCTTGGGACTCCACTTTCCGGGGCCATTGCTGACTGGCTCGTGTGCCTCATGGCACGGCGAAATAACGGTATCTATGAACCCGAGTTCCGCTTGCTCCTAATGATTCCCGCAACGATATTCTCGACCGCCGGATTTATAGGATATGGGCTTAGCATCGACCGCGGCGCCGCTGTCGCAGTCCCAGTCACCTTTATGGCACTACACTCGCTATCCATCCCTTTTGCCACCTCGGCCAGCTTCACATACGTGATTGACTGCCACCCGAAAGACGCCAACCAGGCCTTTGTAACGATCAATTTTGCCAAGGCTGTGTTTATATTTATTGCCAGTATGTTTGTCAATGGGTGGTACTCGGCACGGGGGCCAAGGGTGGTTTTCACCTGGATTACCGGGCTTAATTTAGCGTTTAGCATGATGACGATTCCGATGTATGTTTATGGGAAGAGGTTTAGGAGTATTGTATGTATTTTCTATCCCCCCTGTAGCCTACCCAATTGCTTTCCACTGTTCTTTGCCAAAATTCTTCCTTCGAAAATTTGGGGTTATTTTATTTTATTTTATTTTTTTTTTGCTGACTTTGATTCGTCCCATGCCACACCCAGATTGCGCGGAGTTCCACTCTTAACAAACTTTGAGGTAAATACGTATATATCCACGATACGCAAAATTGGCTGCGAATAGTGGAAATATATCTTTCGGGTCTCATACCCCTTTCAGGCGGATAAATGAGAGTAGGAAGTTTCCTCCGAAATTAACTTCCTAATTGATCTAGATCTACGGAGTATGGCGAGTTGAGTGTCTA